GCAGGTGGTGCGCAGCGCGTGGGTGAGCTGTGTGTGGGTGGTGTCGCAGCAGTAAGTGTGTGTGTGTGTGCAGGTGGTGCGCAGCGCGTGGGTGAGCTGTGTGTGGGTGGTGTCGCAGCAGTAAGTGTGTGTGTGTGTGCAGGTGGTGCGCAGCGCGTGGGTGAGCTGTGTGTGGGTGGTGTCGCAGCAGTAAGTGTGTGTGTGTGTGCAGGTGGTGCGCAGCGCGTGGGTGAGCTGTGTGTGGGTGGTGTCGCAGCAGTAAGTGTGTGTGTGTGTGCAGGTGGTGCGCAGCGCGTGGGTGAGCTGTGTGTGGGTGGTGTCGCAGCAGTAAGTGTGTGTGTGTGTGCAGGTGGTGCGCAGCGCGTGGGTGAGCTGTGTGTGGGTGGTGTCGCAGCAGTCGACGAGCGTGGCGCTGTGCTGCGGGCGCTGCGGACGGCGCTGGCGGCGCGCGGCCTGCGACTGCGGGGGCGCAGGAGGCGCGGGGGCGGGGGGCGCGCCGCCGTGCGCGGTGTGCCGGCGGCCCGTGCGGGGCCTGTACGCGTGGTGCCAGGGCTGCGCCCACGGCGGCCACCTGCACCACATGCGCGCGTGGCTGCAGCGCCACCAGCTGTGCCCCGCCGGCTGCGCGCACCGCTGCCAGCTCGCATGACCGCCCGCCCCGCGCTACGCATGTTCGCCTTGAAGAACAAACCTATACCATTTGCTACAATTGAAAAATCACAATTAATATCGCTTTGTTAATTATCCATTTTGTACAATCTGTTTGATATAAAGTAACGCCTAGTCGATATCTCTAGTCGTTGTGATAAAGACCAGCAATAACTAACAACTTTTGAAACAAATTATTTTTAACTAGTTTGTAACACAAACCTCTTTTGCAGGACAAAAGCTTATATTTCAAAGATTCCAGTAATTTCCTTCTGCTTTCTTAGCTATAACAAACTTGATACGTACCATAGTGAACATACTCATACATTACCTGTAGTACTTAATTTGTTTTCCAAAATATATTGATTGGAATTAATATCTTCGTGGTTTATATATACAATGTTGTATAAGGAAGATATGGTATATGTAAAAGTAAGCGATAACTATATACACGCATATTTTCCTTTGTTAAAATTGTTAATATTTTTGTTATAATGTAAATAGTAACGAATGAAAAGAGAATTAATGTGTATTCATAGACTGATTTAATGATATGTCTTGTATATTTTTATAATTAATAATAATAATAAAACGATACTTTTTTATACAATTGTTTTATTACATTATCATAATAATTTATTATTTACAGAAATATTCATAATAATCGAGTACTAATGTATAAGCTGGATTTGGCAGGATGCCTTAGGAAACGCGAGAGGAACAAGGACCTTATTGAGTGGATTTGGGATCAGTTTGGGAATTAACTATACATTTTTAAGGTCCCGCTTTCCTTTCACCCTCGTTGTAATATTCTCCATATAATTAGTTTATCTAAACCAGTTGGCACAAGCACGTCTTACATTGAGCGAGATGTTAGCTAAAATATCACATCTATACAATATCAACTCGCCTCAGAATATAATGGCTACAATCAAAGATATATGTAGGTGGCGCCACTACGCACTTATGGCCCACTGGCAATATACCTCGGATTATAAATATTGCATACACTTTAAGTCTGTTGGAATGTATAATGTACTGAGACAGTCCTTGCACTATAAATAATTAAAACGCATTGCTGAGGGATATGAGATTATCTATTGATATCACATTCATATCACACCAGTTTGTCCAGGCATTCGGTCATCAGACTAGCATTAAATATTTGGAAGTCTGTATAGTGTACATGATAAATATATATAAAAACTGGCAGTGTTGTATGTAAGATCTCGGGGATCGTCAACTACAACAGTTCCCTTGAATAGGTCGTGTAATACTGAGTTGAAGTCTAGAGGAATAAAATATTGCTGGGAAATGGCGCAGTAGGTATAATACTGCGCAGTATAATACATGACACGGCACATTTTATAAATAAACTAGAGCTAGAACTGATGTTCCACTTTAAAGGAAGGCCTAGCTTAGCCTGTGTTTGGGTTTAGGTGGTTCTGGTTAACTAAAGGTAAACAATCTTAGTATATCTTTTTATATTAAAGAGGCAGTATTGAAATACATAGGTACAAAGATTATCTGTTTATAAGCTAACATTGATTTTGGTAAAAACCTCATTGTTATCATTTTGACATACAACTTTTATATAAAAAGACATTCCAAGATTGTTTACATTTTGTAAATTACCTAAACCGGAAAACTATAATGATGATGATACAGGCTATTTTGAACTGTGAATTAGAGGCTTTTATACTCAAGTTGTTTCCTACCCGCTGATGATGAACTTCCGTTTCTTTCAGTACCTAATACATGCTATGTATAGCATGCCAATTATTTTGCTGCGCCCTCTAGCGAGTGTTGTGGTGAATGATTAACTAGCACACAATACAGCAGGGCCCTCTTTTCTTGACTTCCTCCTGTTCCTCCTCAGCTGCAAGACCTTTCTTCTGTCGCGACATCTGGCGGATCAGCGTCAGGAACGCCTGGAGTCGAGGTAAATTTACATTTATACAGTACAAAAGAAACTAGATTGTGGATATAAAACGAGAAAAAACTATTTCAAAACTATGTGTTAACTACTGAAATAAAAAACTATGTCAAATATTTAGATCTATCTATAAGTCCAAATTGTATGTATTGTAACAAAATAACAGTTTTAGTAACATGCTTAAGTTAGTTACCGGTGATATTTAAAGTAAAATAGACCACTATAGCAACTTTTAAACGAAAAAAATATATCTAAGAGTTCAACGTCGTGTTTGACAGTCTGTCGGTCTGTCTTCTAGTGAAGCTATTTGCTTATTCTAATGTGTAGATTTCTACGAAGAAGAACAAGTATGAAACACCGTGGTTACTATTTTTCAATCAGTTTCACAATTATTTTTGTTTTGTTACAATTATTTAGTAAATAGTATTTGAGTCACTTACCCTAATCAGAGAGAGAGTAATTATTTGTCCTTATTTGGTGCTATTTGAAGCTAGTGGATGTTTGTAAGCCTGAGTCTGTACCTAACTACTTGTGTTTTATATATCTAAATAAAGTAACTTACAATATTTATGGTATGGATGTAATAAACTGCCTAAATCTGGGTCGTTGAGTGGCTAGAAGAAATCTTGACTGATTTCAAAAGCATTTTTAAACAAAACATGAATTAAATCACTACTCAGTAATAAGTATAACCTTTATGGTAACAGTAGCAATAAATAATACGCATCCTTTTGCAAATCTGTATATTTCCTGCTTTATATCAATCATTTTGTTCCTGTGACTTCGATATACATACATACACGTAGGTACATAATCCATACATTTGTGAACTAAAGTAACTAGCCTATAGACATTACAAGTACATAGGAATATAAATAAGAAACACCGCCATCTGTCGACAGTAACTGTGAAACACTAAATATAAAAGTTGAAGCCTATCTCGTACAGTTCCTATCGGCATGTGACGGGCTACGGTTGAGACAGGGTAGTAACCACTTACATTACTTCGTGTTGGCAGTCGGGGACCTGCTAGAGATATACACATCTGGCCCCGGAACAGTATATTATGCTAAACATGTTATTGCTACGCGTGCGTTGCATTAAGTGGACAAACAAATCGTAATGGCATCACACACAGTCCGTCGCAGCGACGAGCTCGGCCCAGCTGGTCACCGCGACACATCTACTGCAACTACTTTATACATCAGGCGACATTGAGAGAGACCCACAGTACACAAGTAAAAGTGAGGTGAACAGACCGAGGAACAGATCGTCGATCCAATATAAAAAAGTAAATCGTGGAGATTTAAAAATATCAGACTTTATTGCATACAAAACTTAGCATTACATTTATAAAGCCACGAGTATCTGACTGCCACCTGCTTGCTAGGAGTACAAACGTACTGGTGTCTGAATACCAGTTTTCTGCAAGAAATATGTTGTAACTTATAATAATAATAATGTGTGTATGAGTGTTGGCAGTCAGAGCCTCGAGGCGCGTAACATACACGACGTGACAACTACCGGCTACTGTGTGAAGCGACCTATACATACATACATACATATATGCCGTACACAGCAGACACCAATGTTCACTGAAATAGTATTCTAGGTCGGGAAGCCGTGCCTGCGCACTCCTACAACGTACAATATATATATTTAGTAACCGAACAGATCCTTACATCATGAGATTTCAACCGAACAACTCGTTACTTCAACACCTGACTAGCTCTTACATTGCATAGTCTGAATAAATACTATTTCTGCAAACACGTACGAACAGTACCCCCCCTCCTCCCCTCCCACACATACACAATACATTTAGCACTTAACATACAAATAAATACAAAACTTACGCTACCGAGCATGCGCGCGCGGCGCGGCGCCCTCTACACGGACATGTAACGCGAAAGCACTAAGCTTTGATACAACAATATTTAATTCATAAAAAATATTATGGAATTCTGTTTGTAATGAGTCGTGTCAAATGTATTGTACCACACTAGCGCCATCGCGGGCGCAGCTGAAGCAAAATATAATTAGGTATACAACCACGATCCATCAGTCGGGTCGCGATATAAAAACTAAACCATAACTCTACTACTGTTTAAAAGTATCTTTATAAAAACGTGTTCCTTCGACGTGTTTCCTTACAAACAGTATTCAATAAATGCAAGCACCAAAGTGGGCGAAATATATTAAAATTTACAATAGCCTGCTTACACCTAGTACATGTGAACGTGCCGGTGGCACGCGACCATCGACCTTCACGTCCACGTAACAGAGTTTCAAATACAATACACGAATTTACAAGATGTGTTTTTGAATAGTGGAGTAGGAGACATGTGGTGATTGTTGTATGTCAGGTCACGTCGCACACGCAATAAACAGTTCCCGCGAGTCGGGCCCCGCAGACGGACAGACGGACAGACAGCAACCAGCGCACGCCGCTACGAGTACGCGGCACCGAGGCCGCAGTACTGCACGTTGAGACATATCACGGACGAGACAAGCGGCGCCCGCCCGCCCTCTAGCGGGCAGTATGAGTAGTGTCGCGTCGAGGCCTACAATATGGCGCACTTGATTTTCCTCCGCTTTTTCCCCTTGACGTCCCCGTTGGTGGCGCGGCTGTCGTCCGACTTGCGCGACCGGATCTCGCGCATCAGGTCAAAGAACACCTGCGGAGGACCCAACGTCACACACCGACACACACAGGCCCACCACCCACACACCCACACACCCATAGCGCTACGGACGACACAATCGTTACAAGGGACGCACGTTTACATGGAGTTGTTACAAGCGTAGTAATACGGCACCGCTACACGACGGTAGCAGGCCAGTAGTACTCAGTGTACTAGTGGCTCTATTCCCTGGCCACCGAGACTAACTTACTTAGAGTTGCACCGCACACTGCCTGGCAAAACCTAACACTATTGGAATGAGATGTACCGATAGAATCGTACGTTGAGCATATCTCCTGTAATGTTAAATGATGTGAAGTGTGTGTAGTAAGTGTCGGTGAGGTAAGGAAAGCGTCAGGCGAGCGAGCGATGCAGCGCAACTCTAAGAAGCCAGCCAGAGCCGCAGTCGTCAGTACAGTACAGGCACATGGCAAGCGTGCAAAGCCCACGCCCGGCTCCGTGGGCCACGGACAACAACAGTCTCAGAGAGGTGGGTGTACAGGTGGGGACAGACTTAGTCGATCATAATTATCGATTAAAGATTCTCTAATCTAATTAATAAAGTTGAAAATTGAACGTAGTTATTAAAAACAGTGGATACGGAGTGGGGCTGACCTTGTCGACGTTGTCCCTCGTCTTGGCGGAGGTCTCGACGTAGGGCACCTGCCAGTGCTGGGCCCGCTCGCGGCAGGAGTCCAGCGGCACGCGCCGCTTGTCCGCCAGGTCCGACTTGTTGCCCACCAGCAGGAACGGAATGTTCTCGTCGTTTTTCACGCGGAGGATCTGTTCTCTGCAAGTTGAGAATGGGTAATCGGTCTTAGTATTCGTCTAGCTTAGACTTCGTTGATTTTTATTTGCTGAACTTTATAAGTAACAATGGCAAAGATATAATGGCAAAGATAAAAAGAGGTTCGATAATATTTTTTCAGAAAACATGTTAGTAATGCAAGTATTATATAAAGGTTTACCTGAACTCCTGAGTGGCATCGAAGCTCTCAGGCTCCGTGATGGAGAAGACACAGAGGAACCCCTCTCCTGATCTGAAATAGTTGTCTCTGATAGCGGCGTAGTCCTCCTGCCCCGCCGTGTCCAGTATGTCGATCTGAACTTCCTCACCGTCCAGCACCACCTGCAAACATCAGGTCATGGACGTTAAAAACTGTACAACTAAATGGATACATTAATTTGAATATTTTCTGAAGCATCGGTCATTACACTATACAGTAAGCTGTGTGGTCAATTCCTAGTCACGAAACTCCATTGAATTGAAACAGAAGGTACGTCGAGCTATATACGCACAAAGAAGAAAAGGAATGAATGAAATGAAAGACGAACGTGTGAGAAGAAAGGACCCTGAGCCCTTAGTGAATGTCTAAGTATTCAACTTTCGACATAACTAGCTGATTACTGCGCAGCCCTGTCCCTCACGCATGGGAACCTTCTCAACGAGCTACTAATGTTGGTTCCCACAGCAATCACACTTACATTCACCGGAATAATGTTGAGTATGATCTCTTTTCTCCCGAGCCCGTGAGAACAGATCTCTTTGCATATCAAGTAGAAAGTCTTGGGTACTTGATAGTGGGTTCATTGCGATCCAATATTGAGTCTGAGCTCCTAGCATGGAACTAGGTGGGTGTTATATTTTTATCTATATTTAAACTACAAGGTGCAGCCATGAGCTATAAGGGTTCGCCTTATTTTTATGATAAATATTTGCGTGACTAATTCGTATGTAAACTTATAAAATAATACAACAATAGAGCAGAGATTACCTTCTTCCTATAGCTGTCTGCCTTAGTGGGCTCGTAGTCTTCAACGAACTCGTCGTACATGAACTGCAGCGTGAGGGCGGACTTGCCCACACCGCCGGAGCCCACCATGATCACCTTATGCAGCGTCGGCTGCGCGGCCGGCTTCTTCGACATCGTGCGGCACTTCACGCGCGGCTCCAGGCACGAACACTGCAACCACACACACACACACACTGTACCTCTCACTTTACGTTAGAAGGGACACGGACAAAAACGTGGCCGACTCTCGATTAACTTATAAGCCCGGTGGAACGTACAAGATCTATGGAACGACAATAAAACATCCTAAATAAGCTGAACAATTCATTAACATGTATCAGTGGGCGCTCGGCCTCCAACATTTGGCGACGTTGGCAAAGCGAGAGCTGTATTCATAACATTATGCATACATTATGAGTGAGTCGCCAGTGACCGTGTATGGTGCCCAAGACATTGAACTTGACTGGGCCCACGTGAGCTTTGAACGTTACTATGGCACGCCCTAAAGCAAACTGGACTGATGTCAACACAGTAGCAAAAAAACATGTACCTTTTACTAGTTAAGACACTAGCTCAAAGCGGCGGTTGGTTTAGCGGGCTTGTCCCATTAATTTGTAGGTTTATTAATAAGGTATTTACCTCAAATTATTTGCCCGAATCTGAATCACTTTGTAGCAGGAAATTAACAATTAATAATGTACGGAGCTAAATAGGTCTACCAGCCAATCAGGCAGCAATTGGAATGGTTGACAACGTATTGAGGTAATACGTGTAAGTACCGGCGTGACTGATAACGTAATGATACGCTCATTATGCCAGTTAAACGTTATCAGGATGCTAATGGCCGAGATTACAACAATTTCTAAAGAATGCACTGAGTATCGGTGTACAGCTGATATTGATCAGCTCTGTTAGTGGAACATGCGATGTCTTCATTAAGAAATCGTATGTCGCGTGTCGCGCCGCCCGAGCTATATTGCTACAAGTACTGACTGATCAGCATTGAATAATCAATGCAGCTTTGAGCTTTGATACGCAAAATGCTCTTGTAACAGATATCTAAAATGCTTTTGTAGAAAAACATATAAATCTCATTTCATATTTTCTATATTGCGTAATCATATTAAAAATATATTGTTAACGACTAAGCTAAAACAATGTTCGTGTTAAAAATGTGATAATTATGTTCCGTTTCATTCCGAACTTAATACAAAGCCGCAAAGATTTTAGATAATATGAATATGGCCACCACATACTTACGTGGAATGAATATTTCAATGAATATAGTTCCCGTAGCGATAACATCTAAATAATGTTATCGTTTTAAATCTTATCGACATCAATGATTATAAAGATATATTTCTGCACTTAAACGAAAACGATTGAGGGCAATATTGCTTCTATTATAATTCGCAAAACTATTTCGTAGTGTAGCTAGTTACGTACAGAATACTTATAAAAATATATAGTCATATATAATTAACATTGAGTAGGTCAGTAGTCAGGTCTCTCTCATCTATGGCGAACGTACCACGTCTTTCATGCATGGCAGCGGTTTAATAAACACATCCGATTATAATTAATTGATCACAACAACATAACAATGGTACACGTGGATTGAATCACAGAAATATTTACATTACATAAATTATTTCAGACAAAAGATGTGGATTAGGTACTCAAATACCGGTCCTTTGCCCCGCATAAAAAGGACTAGAACAGAATACAAAAGTAACTGTACAGCAGAAGAGGTCATATCTACTTAATATGGTGGGCAATACGATTGTGCGTACAATTTGCAGAGTTAATTGAATGTGAACAAAAGATTGACGTTTGTGTGAGGTAGCCGGCAGACAGGTCGGTAGACCAAGCTAACCCTGAGCAGAATGTATAATGAGATGCTTGCTTGGTTTTTACTTTTAAACTCGTTAGCAGAAACCCCTTAAGATTGGAAGAAGTGCCATGAAATGTGCCATGAAAATCAATATACATTTTTGAACTGGAGCTAACAAAACCATGAAGCCAGAAACCTTCTGGGGAAGACGAAAATCCGCCCCTAAGACTACCCAATGACGAATGAGACTATCAGCTTCTAGCTGATAATAAACCATATTCATACGCAGTCCATTATGTTGCCAAATAACGTGGTCTACCTTATAATATTAAAATTACAAAATATATACTGTTGTTTACAACCAAACAAAAACTATAATATATTTCCTATATTATTGCTATAAATCAGCAAACAATGAGACTACGTCGCCGACATATTAAGTGGCATATCGTCTGTGATCGCGAGGCGGCGCACGTACCCAGTGGTTCAGTTATGTACTCGCACACCACAGTACTGTCCGATTTCCTGGGCAATCAACAACGGGACCATATCACCTGGGCTATAGGCTACAGGACTTTGCGTAGGCACAGCAAAGTAGGCATAACGAATAAAGATAGTTGTCATTACAAGTTATCGAAAAGCAAATCATTAGCAGACATAAACCTTTTTGTGATATTTCTTTGAGTAGATTAATTATCAATTGGTGTTCTTTACGTGCCGAGAAGACATTCACTACCTAGCAGGTTTAGTAGACTTCGAAAGTCGACTTTATCTATACTTATATTATAAAGAGGTTAAATTTGTATGTAGGGTTACCCCCTACATACAAATTTACAAACTTACAATTTACTTTGGAACCGCTGGTCGGATTGCCAAAATTCTTTCACTGATAGATAGCTACAATGTTCCTGAGTGCTATAGGCTATAAAAGATCACGCTACGATCAAATGGAGGCGAGCAGCGGATAAAACCGCGCGAGAGTAGCTAGTCATTCATAAGATTAAATAGAAACACAGACTCGCTGCTGCCTACGACGACACGAAAATAACAAATTTCCTTTAATTAAGCTGCAGATCTGCGCCGGATACGTCAGTGGTTTATGTTCCTCTTTCATCTTAACGTCTTCGCGCTTGTTTTATGAAACTCTAGTTATTTATAATCCAGTATTTTGGTACTCAAAAATGTTTCGACGTCCGTTTAAGAATTACAATAATAACTATACAACAAAATCTGTATTGGGCAATTGTTTCTGAACATACATACAAAGATATATTCTGAAGTGTCTGTCAAAATAAGATAAGTCTGGTAGATAGACAACTAGCACCACATTGGTAAAGCCTATCTGTATCTTACACAAATGTTATTATATCTGTTATCAGATGACAGGCTTATTTATTCTTAGCCTGTACAAGTGTATTTTAAGTGGTTTACAAAGTAAACTCATTTATGACTCAGAAATTTTAATATATTGTTTCTACTCAGTGTAGAAGCAGTGTAAGAGAAACGAAGCCCTAGTACCTATATTCTAGTTAATAGGATTTAATGACAGCCTCGCTACAACTTCAGTAAAATTGAGATAAAACACAAACAATAGACGACCTTGACAAGCATGAATCACAATTATTTACCATTCACTACTAGACTAGCGGTCGGATGTGAACACGAGTACTTACACAAAACAAACGAGGCATCGCACGGATAGTACACTCAAATATTGGGCACGGGAGCGCGGAGGAACGCACTCATTAACCACGACTGCTCGCCTCACACTATGACACAAAAATAAACTTTTTGTATGGTTTCCCCCATTCCCCCACCATGACAAAATATGTCAAAGGGCAACACGATGACATACATCAAATTTATTGTTTAATTGGTCTATTTATAATGAGTGTAGCTTCCACTGTGATGACTGTATTATCGCACACAGACACGATTCGCACAACTACATAGATGTCTACTGCGATTCCAGACAGGAATAGAGTTAAATAAAGAATATAAATTTCTTAATATATAACAACTTAATATTAAACTAGCTAATAAAAAAATTGTCTCAACTCGACAGTCAATCAGTGATTTCATTTGGTACGCAAAGGGGGTGGCCACTGATGCGTTTAGTGCGCCATACCATAACAACGCCACATTAGCGATTTAATGCAGTGAAATGTTAAGTGAACATACCAATCTATCTAATGAACAATAATAACTACTTTTTGTTAGACATAACTATGCATAACGTTTTAAAGGTAGCCTTACAGATACAGACGAACATTTTTTCATTCAAAATCTGCAGCCAAGATCGTGAAGTCAAGAATGCCTAAAGCTGGGGAAACCAGTTTAGGAGAGGAAAGCGATATTGCAATATCTTGTTTGAAATAACAGTAACTAAGTAAATGGAGTCTTGTGCAGTCGAGGATTTCTGCCGGCTTAATTCCATCAACTCCCAGAATGATAAAAGTGAAAGGGGTTGCCATTACATAAACATAGATAACCCGACGTTATCGCTATATCGTCAGTATTACAAACAGCCGAGCAATGTGCGCCAACGCAGCCTCGTGGATCGCCAGTTGCTACAGATGTGATAACAATCTAATACCGTTGTGTGTGTACTCGTAAATTGGTGTGACGAATTAAATGGCTACTTTTATAGCCACATAGTTAATTACGTCACCCGCAAGTTGCAACACTGCAGCTTCGCATCGAATTTAACAAGATAAGAAGCAATTGTTTATGTGCACCTTCCACCAGAGTTTATCTGCTTTAACTAACTGAACGTTAAAACTTCATCAAAATCCAATTAAGCCGTTTAAAAATATCCAGTAAGTACTAGAAGCAATGAACTTGTGAGTTCGCTATTAGGGTTAGTGATACTCGCTGGTCTCGTTAGTAATATTTATTTTTGTTTTGGTGGAATCATGCTATTTATACCGTTGAGCAATAAAAGGATCTATTCCTTACATGCTCCCCTACGTTGAATATTTTTAACTGTTCTTTTCTCTCTCTGAATTCGAGAGTGGAGGTAAAGGCAGGTTTCAATACTACCATACTGAAAGTGTGAGGTTAAATAGGAAGGTGAAGAGGGTGTATGGAGAATAGAAAAAAGAGTGGTTAATGCCCTCATCTCACGTCGCTAAAGATTCGAGTTATTAAATATGGAGTTCAAAATCTATTTAGCTATTAAAATAACAGTAAAATTACAGGTTCGCGATAACATAAATAAGCAAAATGTCATTCAGTGCCAGTCTCCTGGTGGCACGGCGTTATGGGAAAAGCTGCAAATCTGCGGTTTAGACAATCGTTATAAAAACACTATTACCTATTTTATAAGTTTACGAGT